AGGACTTTTCGGTTCGAAAACGGAGGTATTTCCCGGTATTTTTTCATTGTTTCATGTCACTGAGCGGAAAGCCACTATTATTGGAAATATATGAAGATAGATCGTACTTTAAATTCTTTTTATCATCATTTTCCGATTACTTTAACAATGAAAATGAAAAAGAAATGTTAGTGGATAGCTCTATTATGAAATCTTAAACTCGCCATAATTTTCGCTTCCTTGGTGCTTTATATTGACGCAATGAATGTGTTAGCTTAATTTGTTATATAAAAGTTATATAAAACGAACTTAATGAAGTTATAAACGCATTATTTAAATAATGTGATCAACACAACTTACATATTTACAAAGTAACAGTAAGACGTTTCAAATTGTGTATGACAGGTAGTAGCAATGAAGTTTCACAAGCTGATTATGTCCTTGATAAATATAGACATCATCTCTCGCTACAGTGTCTCTTGGAAGTCTGCGTGATGGCAGTAAAAGCTTCTCGTTGTGTTTTGTAAATTATATCGCAAGAATATGTCTCCCTGCTTCAGCAAAAAATGTTTGGTACTTACCTTTCCCCCGGGGGGGGGGGGGGGGGGGGGGGGGAGAATGTTTGGGCCCTTAAGGCTCTCAGTTTACACTGCTAAGTTTCAGACACAGCTTACAAGGTGATTTACTGGATCAGATCGTCATGTTAGCGACTCTGTTGACTGCATGCCATTGAGCGCCGACAGCTCATATTATCCAACAATAATTCTGGCAATACGCTTCGTGACTATGATGTTAAAATCTCAATCGGGAAGAGAGCTAAGTGAAAACATCTGATGGGATACAACGTAGCTCAAATGCGTTTTTCATCAATTCACGCCAATATGGTAAGAGTGATTCAGGAAAAAGCAGTAGGAAGGATAGTTACGTTTGTGAGAACGCGCGTGTGCTGTGCGCCCTCACAGATATATAGGTAACCTTAGAACATCAAGTTGAGAATATAAATCACAGAGTTGATGGCGACAGTTCCAGTATTTATTCTTGAGCAGATGTGATCAAGATACATTCAATACACAATTTCAAGTTATTACAATAATAAAGATGTAAATAAGATATTATATGATATTACAATTTTACATTTAATCAACATAGAGATGATATTTGATTGTTGGGGGAATTAGCATGGTAGAGTTGACAATGGCGGGAAGATGACTGGCTATAGTTGATATCCTTTACATATTACAATTAACTGGATACTGAAAATAGAAAGGACATAGTTAAACTCGAGACTAAACACATACACATAAGATTACACAGATATACAGACTACCACCTTTGCATCTATCAAGATAATGAAGATTTATGTATATTAATAATATGGCTGAGATATGTACACATACAAACAGCTGGAGGCTTACGATAGGTATTGCCCTTGGCATTTCCTTAACTAGCCTATCTACAATATTTTCAATAATATTAACATTAACGATAAATGTGCGTAACTCAACAATGTTGAGATCTGTATAATACACTTAAAGTACAACTATTCACAACAAAGTATGACCTACAATTAATGATAATTGTTAGCAGTATAATAGAAATATGAACTGCATTTTATAATTAAATGCAACAACACTGAACAGAACGTTATAAACATAAACATTCCCGATAATTACTTACCTTGTACAAAGACAACATAAATACATTACCTGCACTCAGTTCAAGTGAGATAACTTCACTGCATATTTAACCAGAGTCATTTGGTCTAACTTCAAAACAAAAAGTACACATGTAAATAATTTGAACAAGGGAAAACCAGCTTACCTTAGAACATAAAGTTGAGAATATAAATCACAGAGTTGATGGCGACAGTTCCAGTATTTATTCTTGAGCAGATGTGAAACCAAAGGGGCATCTGCATGGTTTTATATAGTTGATAGGCCGAGGAGCTGGAACTGCGCCTTTACTGTTATTGGTCCAAAGTATGTAACGCCAATTTTGATTGGATAAGAATTTCTGACCTAAGGCTTGTAATGACTGACTGATTTCCCAAGTTTACTAATCTACTGTTTGACATTAACAATAAGGGGATTACTTTCTAAAAACAATGCATTTGGTATACTGTTTGCCTTGCGGTAATCCTTTGCCTAAGGGGGATAATTAGAGGTGACGGGTAGGTAGACACTGACAGTGATTGAGCTTCGCTCACTAGCAGACGTTGACGGGTATAGAATTAAAATAGCAGGGGATTACGTTTGGACAATGGGCATGTTGATTTTGTGCCAATGGGTATGAATTTGGACGGCTTATTGTTTATGTAAGTAGGATGTAAAATGAAAAAGCCTGGATAACATGTATCAAGTAATATTAAGTTTATATAAAACATATGGAAAGTAAAATAATAAAAAATGAAATAGAAGTAGAATAATAAAGGTAGCTAATTTTAAATGTACAAGATATAAGATTAAGTTGGGAATATTTTATTATAATTTCAGCTGTAGTTTTGATAATTTGTATTTAAAATAGAGTAAGGAATTTTCAACGAATTGGGACAAATATGTACACGATAACATTTGCATTAAAAATAGTAAAAAGTGAAACTCATCTTCCACAGTGTAACAGATACATAATTCACACACTCGCCGTTCTTTTAGTTGCCGAATACATGTTCCTGTTTTTATTTTGTTTTATTGTGAAATTCATCCAAAAGGAGCGAGGGTTACTCTATATTTTGAAACTTTAAGGTACAATTCCGAGCAAAAGTTTATAAAGTGGATAACTATTTGTTTTGGTGCCCCGAAGGAGCACATCGTGCAAGTCTTGCTTGTATATTGCCTTTGCACGAAATACGAATTCTGAGATAAAAGCTGGTTTATTACGTTCATCGTTGCTCCCATATGTAGCCAAATCCCACAGAAAAAAAGAATATGTTTTACTTTGAAGACCAATTAATTTTACCCTTTTCTGCTGCTTGAAATATCATGTCACAACAATTATCACACTTTTGTTTCACGATTTACAATTAAATGACAGGCAATACAAAACTGTTCTAGTATATACATACTTATTTTTGTAAACTATTTACAGAGTCAGATATAAGTATAAAGTCGTCAGAGAGTAAGAGAAACACTTGGACGAATTCAGGACACCAGGCATGATGTATACCATGCGAACAAGAGGATTCATCAGTATGATCTAATTCATTTAAAAACATGAAAAACAAAAATGGGTTCAAAACGCAACCTTGTCTAAGACCCAAAATGGACATTCAAAAACATCTGAAACAAGTTCACATCTTACACATGATTTCAGAGAGTCATAAATAGAATGCAAAGCATTTAACGCTATACTTTAGAATACACCACAATTTGGTTGTATTCGCTAAGTCGAAGGCTTTTGAAAAAATCAACAAAAACAAAGCCTAAAATGTTCCCCTCTTTTTAGACAAGTATTGTTGGATAATTGCTAGCAAAATATATATAGCATCAACGTTGCTGTAACCTTTGCAAAATCTAGCCTGTGATTCTTCAATTTTATCGTATGCAATGTGATCATAACACGAGAATGGATGTGTATTAAGTACACTTAACAGTCCTATTCATCTATCATTACTTTGATCTTGTCTGTCCAAACACTTTTCCTCATTTGTAGAGGCTGAGATTTATTTTCTTCTGAAAAGAGAGCTGATATTATTTTACGGCACATTTCAAATTCAACTAATGGAGAGAATGAAAACAATACTGAAACATATCTGTACAGATGTAGGTGATTTAAAACAACACAATGATAATAGCGGTATTATAAAGCATTTATAAAATGATAAATAAAAGACCCATGTGTAGCCCTTTTGGCCAATTCCACTCCATCCCGATACAAAACACAAGTCGGCCTAAACTACACCCGGCAATAAAGAAATGAATTGGCATTACATACTACTATATGAAGATGATATCATATTTTCTAAAACGTTTTTGGAACATTTGAGTCACTTCAAGAAGTATTCCAAAAGATCAAAGGAGCAGGACTCTCTCTAAAACCAAGCAAATGTAAATTGGTTACAAAAAAAAAGTAAGCTACTTCGGGCATATCTTCAGCTAAGATTCATCCATGTCGATCCTTCTAAAATAGATTCAGTCACACAGATCCCACCCTCTAAAAATATCCATGACGTGTGTCATTTCTTAGATTTGACTTCGTGTTTGTTGCAAACCTTCCCGGCATCGCCTCCCCTCTATACAACCTTCTGAAACAAATGCGTGTTTCGAATGGTCCAGCAATTGCCAACAAGCATTCGAGAAGCAAATACAAGCCTCTACAACAGCCCCCATCCGTGCATATCCCGACCAAAACAAACCCTTTCTTTCTCTCAACTGATGCACCTCAAACTGCAATAAGGTACATATTAGACCAACTTGATTCTCATGGCGTAACTTGGAATAATGTTGTTAGTTCATGTCTTTTGATCATACAAATATCTTCCTGTTCTGTTGTTAGGAACAATGTTGATTGATACAGTTAACAACTGTTATGGCCTCTTAAAATGTAAGATTTGAAAAAAACATATTAATAAATAAGGGTTACAGGCATACTGTCTCTCATGGTGATGTCTCTTTGTCATAGTTAGTTTGTTTGTTGTTTAACGCCGCACTCAGCTATATTCCAGCTATATGATGACGGTCTGTAAATAATCGAGTCTGGAGCAGACATTCCCGTGATTGACATCATGCGAATTGATCCAAGCAATTGAGTTGGTTGGTTTGTTGTTTATCGCCGCACTTAGCAATATTCCAGCTATATGATGACGGTCTGTAAATAATCGAGTCTGGACCAGACAATCCGGTGATTGACATCATACGCATCGATCCATGCAATTAGGATCGATGACATGCATCAACCAAATCAGGGAGCCTGACCACCCGATTCTGTTAGTCGCCTTTTACGACAAGCATAGTCGCATTTAACGGCAAGCATGGGTTGCTGAAGACCTAGTCTACCCGGAATCGGGTCCCCTTGTGACTGAAATACTTCAAACCACAGGTAGGGCGATCTGTTGTTACTCGATATTTCAATAACATGTTCGTGAAAAAATTATATCCTTTTTAGACAGGCCAAAGGCACTATTCTAGCATTTCTGACAGTACTTTTAAATGTTGCTGTTATAGTTATACAACTGGAATGCTGTGTCTTTATACAACACACACATATCATATAGTTTAGCAGTTTCACTTTAACCTGAGAACTCTTAATGTCTTATCCAGGAACGCCATTCCGTATGACCAACTACCGGAAGCTGCCCAGAGAGCAGCCTCAACTGCCTTGGTCAACAATGTCCAGAGTCGGTTAGAACCATCATAATGATTCCTGGCGAATTTTCTCGCGTCCTTTTCATGAAACTTGCGACGCTTATCAAGAAGCACCTGTCGCTTCCTTGACAGTGATTCCTCTTTTGACTCGGAGCTATCTGCAAGCGTCTGCTTGTATTCCATCACACCATTAGCGATATACTCCGCATCAGATCTTTGATTATGGAGCAACCATTTATTCAACTCTTCTTTCTCAATTTTCTTCATTTGTAGCTCAGCTTCCTGATACATATCATTTGTGAAGTAACGTCCATTCGGTGTAATCGTATCTACCAGAGCCAGTTAGTCTCGGACAAACTCTTCATTGTCGTCAGTCGATTTGTTGTTGACAGCAAGGTAGTTTTCATCGGTTTCACCGGTCTTGTTAATGAAACCCCTCAGTTGGAGGTTTGTGTCAATGAAAGATTTCAGACTCTGTTCAAGATCCTCTTTCCTTGTGAATATGACAATGACGTGACGTTGTGACTCAGAGCCAAAAAACTCAGAAATTTTTTCACGGAATTACTCTCTTCTTCGGTAAACCTCCCAATACCAATCACAAACAGAATTGCGTGCACACCAGGAGAGGATAAAGCGATACATTTCCTCAGCTCTTCCTTGATATCTTTCTGACTATATCCAGTAGGAAAGAAACCGGGGCAATCAACCAGTAAAATGTCCCTGTTGAATCTCTCAAACATGATGTGTTCACATGATTTTGTTTCAGAAGAGGCTGAACACTTGACGCTGAAATTTGTCTCCCCGATGATTGTATTCCCAGTGGAACTTTTACCAGCTCCAGTCCTTCCGATGAGAATCAGTCGAGTTTCTCCAGACAGATAGGTTCCTATTTCGGAATCTGAAACACCAGATTACATGTCACAACGAGAAACATTATGTGTTAGGTCAGGATTAACTTTCTGTCATCTGTTCAGAGCACGGATTTGCTTTGGTTGGTTGGTTTCTTGTTTAACGCCGCACTCGGCAATATTCCAGCTATATGACGGCATGCATCAACCAAGTCAGCGATCAAGACCCCCCCGATCCCGTTAGTCGCCTTTTACGACAAGCATTATCGCCTTTTACGGCAAACATGGGTTGCTGAAGACCTATTCTACCCCGGAATCTTCACAGGGCTGGGAATTCTGGCAGAATTATTTAAACCCATACAGTGCGTAGGAGCGGCATGCTAAGCTTTATTGCCCACCACAATAATCTGCTCTGAAATGGATTCTGTACATTGTACAGGCTTTAATCTGCATCTGCAGTAGGGGCAGTGTGATGGCCTTCCTCTCGCTCTCGGAATCAGTGTGAAGTCCATTGCTGGTGTCCACCGCCATGCTTTTGCTAGGATATTGCTGAAAGTCGTACTCAATCATCCCAGTTTATAACTTTCCATTTATTAAATCTGTTCAGAGGAGTCTTGCTCAAATAATCGGGATGAGTCGCATCTGCCCACAACAAATTTATCAAATTCGAAATAACGAGAATAATCCATCTATGATATAAAAGTGTGTATATCACTTGATTGTCTGGTTTGTTCACAGGCTGAAGGAGTACTCCTGTGCTGCGTCAGGCAATTTATAAATTGTATGAATGGCGGGTGCTACCGGTAGGGCAGGACATGAACACCCTTTTCGCGAACACCTGGTGTCATCACTGATTTCTAGTGGTCCATTCATATAAATTTATATACTTATGTTGCCCTTTACACCAAGTGGAATCTGTTTTGGCAGAAATCTAGGCTGGTTATTATCTTGAACTTGAATATATAATTAGTTCGTTCATATAGTTTGCTTGTTTGTTGTTAAACGCTGCACTCAGCAATATTGCAGCTATATGACGGCGGTCTGTAAATAATCGAGTCTGGACCAGACAATCCAGTGATTAATTTCATGAGCATCGATCCACGCATTTGGGATCGATGACATGTATCAACCAAGTCAGCGAGCCTGACCACCCGATCCCGTCGTTCATATAGCAAGAACCTTAGATATACAGAAAAACATGAGTAATGGCCTGGTATTCTTAAGATGGAGCCCTTTATTTTGTGACTGTAATTTGGTAGCAATGCTGTGAATAACAAATTTCACTCACTCAGTAATCATGGTACAAATCCTGTTCTGCTCTCATTGAATCAGAGGCATTAAAACGTTAGCTCATGAAGGATTCCCGTGACCGCGATACTTTTTCTGAATTTCTTAAATTTATTAGCCATGAGTGTCTTGTTTTCCGTTCATAGTAAGACAAAATAACGTTTTCAACAGCATTTTGTCTACAAATGCATTCCCAACAGCCCTATGTGACGCAGGTCATTGACATTTTCATTTTGTTGAAAGCAACAAGCACTGGAATGGTTTTAACAAACCAATGCTCCCATTCGAGATGGGTCTGGCATGTGAACCTTCGCGCCCATCAGGCAACGTACAGCCAGTCTAAGGGAAGTAACTCTTCTTGACCACACTCAGGTAAGGACTCAGTGGTTGAGATCAAGAAGGCACGAAAAAGATTACCTTTTGCAACAGCCATTTTCGTCTCTGCAGGTGAACCTGGAGAAATAGAATTGAAAATAAAAGCATGATTGGAACAATACAGAGAGCCCAGATCATTTTAGAACGATTCCTGTCTGATGATGCTAGCGACTCTGTGTCCTCGAAATGCCTACCATCAGCCATGTCTAAAGCAAGCAAGATACAGAGCCACTACTAGAGGCAAATGACAGGAGACGCTGCTTTTTCAAGTCCAATGTCTGACATAAAACAAAAGAACAGTATGGCGTCAATATAAGCATTGAGGACAATTGTAGCAAAGCAGAAGTATACTAATTAATTCTAGAGTTGTTTTCCATAGGTTCAAATCCCACTACAAAGACAATGAAATGGCATTAAATGCCTGGAAATCAATCAGTTCGACATTTGAGGAATCAAGTGTTAAGTATTCGTATTATTGTTATCAAAATACATTTAACGAAGAAATACTGGATACAATTAATGATCTTGAGCAAATAAAAGACTTAAATAAAATTGGATCTGTGATATATTGATATCCTTCACGAATGGTCAAAGGCATGAAACCATAATTTTTCCTTTAACGCGCTGCTTCGGTATGGGCGGTAAAGCAGCGCGTTATTGTGGAGAAAAAACGCGTTGTCGCGCTGCGCCGCTCGCGCGCTGCGTCAGTGTGGGGGAGCTTTCAGACCTGCATCACTTCGGGCTTTCCTCCCACATTAAGCTGACGCGCTGTGATGTATAACTGGAATAATGTTAAAAGCCGTGTTAACCCAAACTCACTAACATTATTTTCTGACTTGGTCAATAATGTAAAAACCTCTAAAGCCCCAACACGTTTGAAATACGACTAAGGCTTGTGCGAAATAACAGTAAACGTCCTTTTAAATTGAGATATATCCTTCAAAGGCGTTTGACTTCAAGTCCCCGTGTAATTTTATCAACACTTGTGACATGTCGATTTTTAATGCAAAAGAACAGGCGCCCCTCCTGAAAGTATGTATGTAATTATGAGATGATAACCAACACGCGTCTAACACACGGTGCAACGACTTGACAAACGTGCCTGCCGTGGAGATGGTAATTCTGTTACTGGACACAAGGGAGAGCCTGCCATATTACACTGGGGGACTTGCTGAGTCCTTTGACCAAACTGAATAGTTTTACTAATTTCTAAAAGCACTTTATTACTATACCATGTGACTATACCATGTGACTATACCATTTGAGTGTTCACACTGGAAGGCAACAGAGTCGGTTTTCTTCCACATGTGAAAAAGCACAGGTTGCCCAGAAAGCTATGTTGAACGTGTGGTCAGGTCTAACTTTTTACCTAACTTCAGAAGAATAGCAGGCGTGGTCGCAACTTCTGTGCTGGTGGTTTACCTATACCATATGAATAACTTGAATGGGGAATTACTATACCTTAAAGAACAAAGGAAGTTCAATTAAACTGTTCACTTTTACTGTTAGATCCGGGTTAGAATAGGTCTTCAGCAACCCATGCTTGCCGTAAAAGGCGACTATGCTTGTTGAAAGAGGTGACTAACGGGATCGGGGGGTCAGGCTCGTTGACTTGGTTGATGCATGTCATCGATCCCAGTTGCGTGGATTGATGCTCATGATATTAATCACTGGATTGTCTGGTCCAGACTTGATTATTTACAAACTGCCGCCATATAGCTGGAATATTGCTGAGAGTGGCGTTAAACAACAAACCAACCAACCATCATGTAATGCCCCAACAAAAAGGTGTGTGCGTGCGTGCGTGCGTGTGGATATAACCGATAAGACGACGCCGTTATCGCACATGTATTTAAATGGGTAGCCATCGATGTTATAACTGTGCCGCCTATACAACAATAGACGTAATCAGATCACACCTTCATATTCATTGAAGCGTCTCTATGCTGACTATGATCGAATCCATCAAACGAACAAGCGCAATATACAACGTATCTTTGAGAGATGTTATGGTGTTATATTGCGGCCCAATAGTCACCTGACATGTCAAGTATTGATGTCAGTATTTGAAAATAAGCGATAAGAATAACAATATGACCCTGTGGGCCAAACGCTGCAGATTATGGTTACCATGGTAACACAAAAATCAACGAGCAATGGGAGTAATATTCTAATGTTATACTACAAATGGGGCACAAACGTGTCTGGATAGTGGAGAAATGTATTGTCACCGGGCATAAAACCTGACCAGTCACGGTCTGGTAACCGCACGGCTTCCCATAACTCGTGTTATTCCGGGACAAGCCGAATAGCGACTCGTGCCCCCCTCGTGGACATTTTTGCGACCGGGTTCCGTCTTAGCGCAAAACGAGCATACCTAAAATAATTGGCAACTCGTCGCGTCATTTTCTCTACCCTATGACGACACCTGCTGTTAAATTTCACCCAAATGTATATTGCAAACTATAGCTTAAATGGATAGAATTATCATTAAACCGCCCGCACGTTATCAGAAATGAGCGGGCCACTGTAACTTGATAATGCCCTCATATATTGCTTGACGACGGGCCATTATCAAGCCCGTTGTTGGGTGACGTCATAGGGTAGAGAAAATGACGTCACGTAATATAGCGACGTCATCTGGTTTGTTCTGTGACGTTTCCATATTTGTAAAATGTGGTCAGTGACATTCGTGTTGATTGCAGCACAGGAGTCCGTATCTAAAAAAAGACACCCTCATGCATATTCATGACCATCTCCACACGCGAGCCCGAACACCACATCTTTGCTGCGGCAGTTCATGTTGGCTCGCCCTTCGGGCTCGCGTGTGGAGATGGTCATGAATATGCATGAGGGTGTCTTTTTTTAGAAACGGACTCCTGTGATTGCAGTAAATGTTTCAAAACCGATGTTCTTGTTTCTTTTTATTTGATAACAAATTCCATCCATTTTAGCTATAATAACGGTAACGCTCTTTTTCAGGGCATTATCATTTGCAGAAGCCCTCGGTCTTTTCAACTGCCCTCCTTTGTCGGGCAGTAATTGAAAACCTCGGGCTTCTACAAATGATAATGCCCTGAAAATAGCGTTACCCTTATAATATACATTTAGGTGAAATTAAACAGCATACATACCTTAGACTGTCTTTTATCGTCACAAGTTCTCCTGTCTGTACCTGTACACCTCGATGTAGTCCTACAGTAGTGTCCTCGCACACCTTTTCGAACAAGAAATAAGTCCTTGACAAAAGGCCTGACCGTCACCCCCTCGTCTGTATATTTTGCTGCTCTCGAGTGACGTCACCCCTATTTGACACCCGAATGAAAGATGATATCGAGCAGGACTCCAGAGGTAATGCTACAAAAGTAGGTTGAGCTGTAGGTGGACGGAAATGGGACTATTGCATTACAAATCTGTGAGGAGAGGCACTGGACCTTGTCAATGAGTCATGTTTTCCTCGGGAATAGCTACTTCTGTGTATAGGCGTAATACACCGGCGCCATGTCAGTAGCATAGTATCAGTAGGCAGGAGCTCCTTTTGGTGGAGGGAAAAAGTGGAGGGAGCCTGAAAGGGTCCCCCAGCCTATCGGAGCGAGCGCAAGGGACAGCGCGTCACAGGTGTGGGGGAATGAAAGATGTGTGTGTTTATAAGCCAGAAAAGAATTCGTAAGTAAACAAAAGTAAAGGTTATTCAATAGAGCTATACGAACGGTGTGTTGCCCTGAATAGACAAGCAGCCCAGTTTGAATTGAGCGCGCTTGACAACTCACGTGACCACGTCGTTTCAAATTGTTTATTGGTCATAATGGTTTTGTTAATTTCAGGCATTAGTAGAAATTACAATTAGTGTACAACTCACGTAGTCGTTTCAAATTGACCGCGCTCGCTAGAGCGTGCGAACTGGTTTGATGAATGCAGGGTATGTGTTGAAAGTACGACCATACCGCAATAGAGACGGGTTGTGTCAACATGATATACGCCGGGTAATGTAGGTAGGGAAAAAAAATGTACGTCTAGCTGGATCAAATTCATCTTGTACTTTCTACACGTTGTACACCATGAACGTTAGACAACCTGTATAGAAAAAAAATATAGACAAAATAGATAAGACTACGCAATCAGCAAGCTAGCAGTTTACATTTAGCGGGCAACAATGAGCTAATGTATAGCAGAGAGACTAAGCGACCGGCCGCCCATAACAATGTCAACATACCCCGGCCTTACAATTAATGTTAACATAACAGCCTCGCCTGAAGCTTCCCATTCATAAATTGTGTGACCAGTGTCCCGTATTTATGATACGTTAGGGAACATGTGTTGTACATTTGTTATTTTAAAAGGGAGTTATTTCAGAGAGAATATATATGGGTATTCCCCCTCATTAAACCTTTCTTTCGTTGGTTTCTATTAAACGAATCCGGTATTTAATACATTTGAATGATGTAGGAAAGTATGTGCGTGAAGGTGTTGTACCTTTATCCGAACACGAATGTATGACACCTTTCAATAGATCAATTACGGTTCTAACCACGACACGCAACATGACTATGAGCGTGGTTAGCAGTTCATATTTATAAACACATCGTAAATGACAGATTTCTGATGAATGAACTCGCCCGCACACATGTCTATAGGGTTATGTTCGCCCGAACTGTAAACAGTGACACATTGATAACAGGAAGGGTGTGTGGAATGCACTCGTCCTCGTAAGGGTAAAATAAACTCACCATTTAAATGATGACATTACTTTTTAGATGTATTGGTATCAGTGAGTGAGTGAATTTAGTTGTACGCCACACTCGGCATTATTCCAGCTCTAGGGCGGTGGTCTGTCAATAAACGAGCTTGGGGGGGGGGGGGGGGGGGGGGGGGGGGGGGGGGGTGGGGGGGGGGAGAATGTTTGGGCCCTTAAGGCTCTCAGTTTACTCTGCTGAGTTTCAGACACAGCTTACAAGGTGATTTACTGGATCAGATCGTCATGTTCAGCGACTCTGTTGACTGCATGCCATAGCGCGCCGATTATCCCACAATAATTCTGGCAATACGCTTCGTGACTATGATGTTAAAATCTCAGTCGGGAAGAGATCTAAGTGAAAACATCTGATGGGATACAACGTAGCTCAAATGCGTTTCTCATCAATTCACGCCTATATGGTAAGAGTGATTCAGGAAAAAGCAGTAAGAAGGATAGTTACGTTTGCATTAAAAATAGTAAAAAGTGAAACTCATCTTCCACAGTGTAACAGATACATAATTCACACACTCGCCGTTCTTTTGGTTGCCGAATACATGTTCCTGTTTTTATTTTGTTATATTGTGAAATTCATCCAAAAGGAGCAAGGGCTACTCTATATTTTGAAACTTTAAGGTACAATTCCGAGCAAAAGTTTATAAAGTGGATAACTATTTCTTTTGGTGCCCCGAAGGAGCACATCGTGGCAGTCTTGCTTGTATATTGCCTTTGCACGAAATACGAATTCTGAGATAAAAGCTGGTTTATTACGTTTATCGTTGCTCCCATATGTAGCCAAATCCCACAGAAAAAAAGAATATGTTTTACTTTGAAGACCAATTAATTTTACCCTTTTCTGCTGTTTAACATATCATGTCACAACAATTGTCACACTTTTGTTTCACGATTTACAATTAAATGACAGGCAATACAAGACTGTTCTAGTATATACATACTTCTTTTTGTAAACTATTTACAGAGTCAGATATAAATATAAAGTCGTCAGAGAGTAAGAGAAACACTTGGACGAATTCAGGACACCAGGCATGATGTATACCATGCGAACAAGAGGATTCAACAGTATGAACTAATTCATTTAAAAACATGAAAAACCAGAATGGGTTCAAAACGCAACCTTGTCTAAGACCCAAAATGGACATTCAAAAACATCTGAAACAAGTTCACTATATCTTACACATGATTTCAGAGAGTCATAAATAGAATGCAAAGCATTTAAAGCTATACTTTAGAATACACCACAATTTGGATGTATTCGCTAAGTCGAAGGCTTTTGAAAAAATCAACAACAACAAAGACTAAAATGTTCCCCTCTTCTTAGACAAGTATTGTTGGATAATTGCTAGCAAAATATATATAGCATCAACGTTGCTGTAACCTTTGCAAAATCCAGTCTGGGATTCTTCCATTTTATCGTATGCATTGTGATCATAACACGAGAATGGATGTGTATTAAGTACACTTAACAGTCCCATTCATCTATCATTACTTTGATCTTGTCTGTCCAAACACTTTTCCTCATTTGTAGAGGCTGAGATTTATTTTCTTCTGAAAAGAGAGCTGAAATTATTTTACGGCACATTTCAAATTCAACTATTGGAGAGAAAGTTAACATTACTGAAGAATATCTGTACAAATGTAGGTGATTTAAAACAAGAGTCATCAGAAAGATGACATATCCCCCCGGCAGCTGTCTGTAAAGTAACCACTAGTAAATGTGCAATTATGATATTATATCGTTCTTAGACCGTGATAGTGTCTTGTGACGTTGCGACCCCATTTGAATACTTTCACAAACATATTATTTAAAAGAAAGGTGATTACTTAATTACTAATTGTGGAACTATTAACGCTAATATAAAACACAAACTACAGATTGTTAAGTTCAGGGCTTCATAGGATGATGACGACTATTGGTTTGATACAGTTTTAGTTTTTTATAGTTTGAGGGATTCTCACTCCTTCATGTACCTCTTAGAACTTATTTCCGCAATGGAGAAATCATGAGAATCAACATTATCCGAGTTATATTCCCGATTTAAACCACGTTATGGTTTACAAAATAATTTCGCTGAAAGATTTAATAATGACCTACAGTTGTTTGTTTGTAGTTTGGCGATCATTTTGTCCTCTTCTCTCATTGTTACGGTTTTAAGAGAGAGTGTGACGTGTGTCATTCCTCAGTAACTTTGAAACATTGAACGAAAACTTATGTTACTTAATGTTTACATAGTACCTCAATGAAGCCATGTAAAGGTAGAAAGTCAAACAAATAGGTCATTAACAATAAAGCCAGAGGTTAGCTATAGCTGACCCGGAACGATTGTCAATTACTCAAGCAAATATTGTTACAAAAGTCGATAATTCGATAGTAGGTCATACTTTCTTCTACGTAAATTATAACATCACATACGTAGGTGAAAGTATCGTCTACGTAGATGTTAGTAATATCAACTACGTAGATGAAAGTATCATCAACATAGAAAATATTTTTCGACTGCGGCATTAATACGCTTCAATAATGACGTTTTACCTCTTTGTTATAACACATGCCGTGTTGCTATGATACATCGCCTAGGCAAAACGGCGGTTTGAAACATGTTTGCACAAGCGTGTTGATGACGCATTCACGCCTTTAATTTTAACAGTTTGGTTCTACAATGACGCATGGGAAGAAAGGGTTAAAACACGCGTACGCAGTGGGACGGCTCAGTGGTCACGCACTCTGAAGTACCAGCACCGTCTCTCCAGCAGCAGCCTCAGTCTAAACATGGACGTATACCAGGGTTTTACAGTGATGGACCTGTACTGTGGTACAGCTGAGTGTGAACAAAATCCTTTAGAAGAAAAACAAGTTGAAGGAAGATCCAAACGTGAGAAGATGACCACCAAAGACAGACGAAAACGATCGTGTACAAAACTTGAAAAAGAAAAGAATCACATAACCTCTAAGGTCAGTCCAAGACCTTCCACTGAAAGACGGGTATCGACTGGAAACTGTATTGACAACAATGCGCACCGCCAAAGGCAACGACGGGTTACTGTTTGTAAACCATCCGTTGGGATTTGGAAGTCTCTAAAGATGTGAATAAATGACCGGAAGTTGCCTGAAATCCGTCACAGTTCAAGGTCCGATACCGAGCTATATGTGGTTTCCATCACAGACAGGCAATAAGTGTATGTTGCTTTATTTTGTGGCATGATTTGTGCACGTGTTCTCAGTTACCATACAACAGTGGGTACCTTGTGGTTAATACATTGTTTCGTCACAGCGAGGACCCACCCAGGTGTCCCCTGCCATACTGATGGAATGTTGCTGTAGCGGCGTGTCACCCTATCACCTAACTCTCTCACAGAAAAACTTGAGTGAAAAGTTTGTATCATATGTATATTGCAATGACATTGTTTCCCTCCAGGTTGCAACTGGTTGCATTTTGCTGTTTTGTCATTATTTTCAACACGTTTACATACGTTTGTGTAAATATTTGCATATATTGTTGCATAAAGATTCAAAACCTTTTGCTCA